GTCTCGCTCTGTCGCCCAGGCTGGAGTGCAGTGGCCGGATCTCAGCTCATTCCTGATCTCAGGTGATCTGCCCGTCTCGGCCTCTCAAAATGCTGGGATTACAGGCATGAGCCATCACACTCAGCCGACAGTGATCACTTTCTAACAAACTATTAATATAGTCATGCATCACTCTGCAACAGAGATATGCTCTGAGAAATGTGTCATTAGGCAATTTCATCATTGTGCGAATATAAGAGTGTATTTACACAAAAGTGAATGGCATAGCCTACTACCCACCTGTGCTATATGGTACAACCTATTGCTCCTAGACCAGAAACCTGTATGGCATGTTACTGTACTGAATACTGTAGACAACTGCAATACAAAGGTAAGTGTTTGTATATCTAAACATACCTAAACACAGGAGAGAAATGATAAAAATATAGTATAAAAGATAAAAAATGGTACAGTGGTAAAGGGCACTTACCATGAATGAAACTTGCAGAACTGAAAGTTGCTCTGAGTGAGTGAGTGGTGAGTGAATGCAAAGGCCTAGGACACTACTATACACTACTATAGACTTTATAAACACTGTACACTTAGGCTACACGAAATCTATAAAATTATTTTTATTTCTTCAAATTGTTGAATTAGCCTTGGCTTACTATAACTTTGTTACTTTATAAGCTTTTCCATTTTTCTTTTTTGAGACGGAGTCTCGCTCCATCACCCAGGCTGGAGTAATGGCACGATCTTGGCTCACTGCGACCTCTGCCTCCTGAGTTCAAGTGATTCTCCTGCCTCAGCCTCCCAAGTAGCTGGGATTACAGGCGTCTGCCACCATGCCCAGCTAATTTTTATATTTTTAGTAGAGACGGGGTTTCTCCATGTTGGTCAGCCTGGTCTCTGACTCTTGACCTCAGGTGATCCACCTGCCTTGGCCTTCCAAAGTGCTTGGATTACAGGGGTGAGCCACCATGTCCAGCCAGCTTTTCAATTTTTTAAAACTTTTTGACTCAGCACATAGCTTAAAACGCATTGTACAGCTGTACAAAAATATTTTCTTTCTTTATATCCTGATTCTATAAGCTATGTTCTTAAAAATTTTTTTTTAACTTTTTAAATTTTCTTGTTAAAAATTAAGATACAAACACCCATTAGCCTAGGCCTACACAGTGTCCAGGATCATTGGTATTGTCTTTCACCTCCACATCTGGCCCCACTGGAAGATCTTCAGGGACAATAACACACACAGACCTATCACATCCTATGACAACAATGCCTTCTTCTGGAATACCTCCTGAAGGACCTGAGGCTGTTTTACAGTTAACTTTTTTAAAATAAATAGGCATATGCTCCAAACTAATGATAAAAAGTATAGTATAGTAGGCACATGAATCAGTAACATATTTATTATCATTACCAAGTATTAGGTACTGCACATAATTTTATGTTATACTTTTATCTGACTGGCAGCAAAGTAGGTTTGTTTACACCAGCACCACTGCAAACACGAGTGATGGTATTGTGCTACAGTGTTATATTGGCTAGAAAGTCACTAGGTGACAGGAATTTTTCAGCTCCATTATAATCTTACAGCAGGGGTCCTCAACCCCTGGGCCACGTACCAGTACCAGTACCGTACTGGTTCCTGGTTAGGAACCAGGCCACACAGCAGGAAGTGAGCAGCAGATGAGCGAGCATTACCACCTGAGCTCCACCTTCTGTCAGATCAGTGGTGGCATTACAACCTTACAGGAGTGTGAACCCTCTTTTGAACTGTGCTTGCGAGGGATATAGGTTGCTCGCTCCTTATGAGAATCTAATGCTTGATGATTTGAGGTAAAACAGTTTCATCCTGAAACCATAACCCTCCCGTCCCCCGGTCCATGGAAAAATTGTCTTCCACAAAACCAGTCCCTAGCGCTAAAAAGGCTGGGGACCACTGTCTTACAGGACAACAGTCATATATGTATATAGTCCATACATATACGGCACATGACTATAATTTAGTTATATATACTGTCCACCCACCCCCCACAACATAAACTCCATGAAAACAAGGACTTATTTTTGTCTATTTTTGATATTGATAGTAGGTGCTCAAAAATATGCTGATAAAATGGTTCAGTCATTACCAAAAACACTATGACAATCAAAGATTAAAAACAGACATTACCACATGTATATATAAAAAATTGAAAGCAGGGACTCAGTTGTATACCCATGTTTGTAGCAGCGTCACTTGCAATTGCCAAAAGGTAGAAGCAGCCCAAGTATCCAATGATGAATAAACTGATAAACAAAATGTTTATCCATATATGACATACTTATTATTCGGCCTTAAAAAAGGAGGAAATTCCAATACATGCTAATATGGATGAATCTTGAGGACATTATGCTAAGTTAAATCAGGGTCACAAAAGGACAAACAACATATGATTCTGCTTATATGAAGTACCTAGAATAGTCAAATTCAGAGACAGAAAGTAGAATGGCAGATGCCATAGGCCAGGGGAAAGTGGGGGATAGAGAGTTATTGTTTGATAGGTACTGGGTTTCTGTTTTGCAAGAAGAAGAGTTCTGTGGATGGATGGTGGTGATGCTACCATTACAATGTGAATGTACTTCACGTCACTGAACTGTACACTTAAATATGGTTTAGATGATAAATTCTACGTTGAGTATTTTACCACAATTAAATATATATATATGTATACAGTTGGTCCTCCTTATCCACGGGTTCTGCATCCTCAGATTCAATCAGCCTCAGATAAAAAATATAGTTAGGCCTACGATAGTTGTGTCTGTACTGAACATGTACAGTACAGATTTTTTTCTTATTATTCCCTAAACAATAAAGTGTAACAATGATTTACATAGCATTTACATTGTATTAGGTATTATAAATAATCTAGAGATGATTTAATGTATACAGAAGGATGTAGGGACTTGAGCATCTGTGCATTCTGGTATCCATGGAGGGGTCCTGAAACCAACCCCTCCTGGATACGAACCGTATATAGAATAAATGAGCTACTACTACTAATTTGGGGATTTAACACTACAAGAGAATAGGCCAGGCACAGTGACTCATGCCTATAATCCCAGCACTTTGGGATGCTGAGGTGGGCAAATCATGATGTCAGGAGATCTAACACAGTGGCTAACACAGTGAAACCTCACCTCTACTAAAAATACAAAAAATCAGCTGGGTGTGGTGGCGCGTCTGTAGTCCCAGCTACTCCAGAGGCTGAGGCAGAAGAATCGCTTGAACTCAGGAGGCAGAGGTTGCAGTAAGCCGAGACCGTGCCACTGCACTCCAGCCTGGGTGACAGAGCGAGACTCTGTCTCAAAAAACAAAACAAAACAAAACAACAACAACAAAAACTAGAAGAAAATAATATACCAGACAAGAATAACACAGAAATTGGCGGATATTTTGGAGTTCAAGTATCTTAAAGTCTTAAGGTTGAGTTTTGTTAAGTATGCATATTAAAAACAGAAGGATAATAGCAGAAACCAAAGTAGGGGAGAAAAAGGGATAAGGTGAATTTGCCCAGTAAAAAAAGATATATGTGCAACTATTATATGTCAATCAAAAATGTTTAAGGCATAATAAATAGAAAACAAAACGTTTTTATGAGCAATCATAATAAATGCCACTGAATTGTACTCACCTATTACAACAACAGTCAAACGTGATAAACAGATGTAAACCCAGCAATATGCTCCTTACAAGACACAGATCTGAAACATAAAGACACAAAGGGGTTAGAAAATGAAATTCTTAAGAAATACAATAAAATTTGAAAAGCAATATTATCAGACAAAAGCGAACCCAGACTAAAAGGCACTCACCAGGATAAAGAGGTATGTTTCTTAAGGTGGTAGATTGGAATTTTAGTCCAATTCCTCACCCCCTCTAATAGATTATATATTCATACTCTTTGGAAGGTAACTTTGCCCTCCAATTGTGGGCATAATTGATTTTAGGCTTAGCCATGTGACTTGTTCTGGTTAAGGCAATCTCTCTTGTGCTCTGGTGACCCATCATGAGCAGAGCATGCCCTGGCAATAAATGTGCTTTTGGCCTGAGATCCAGAAAGAACAGATGCGGAGCAGATCTTAACTCGTCGCGCAGCCTATCCACTCAACCAAGCCCCACCTAGATCAGCTGAACACCGTCAACGCGCCAGCCTGTGAACAGGAGCATAAGGACTTGCTGTTGTATGGCACTGAGTTCAGGGGTGGTTTTTAGACATCATTATTATCATGGCAATAGCTAACTAATATACATAAAAGCAGCAAGTCGTAAGATAATAATGAACCTGAAAAGTTCACTAAGGAATACTGGAAAACCACAAACTGTAGGGTCAAGGACTACGGTAAAAAAGGCAGCAAAGGAGACTACAGAGGAGTGGCCAACAGGGAGAGAGGGACCAGTAAAAAACAAGTAAGTGTTTTTCAAGTCGTTATCAACTATGCCAAATGCTACAGAGAAGCCAGCTCAAGACAGGAACTACTAGACATACTACAATCACGCACACTTGGCCACGCTCACACTCACTAGAGCCTTAATCACAATCACACACATATCACACATTTCATCATAATCACGCGCAACCAAACATCACAATCACCCCATCACAATTATTCGTGCCGTCACACTCACACACACAACCACACACCCACACTAACTCCCTTCACAGTTTTCTGTCCCAACAACTGCAACCACTCACCAGTAGCGTACCCTGAGCACTCCCCACTGCCGCTACTCGGGACACTCTGGGCCTAAGTGGCTCCCTGTCCCGTCAGCCGCGAGTCCCTTGCTCGCCCCCGGCTGCGGGGACTCGGCAGCGTCACCTGCCGGAAACACCCGAATGTTCATCCCGCGCGCAGTTTCTGAGATTCTGGGTGAAGGGGACCCACAGATAGGTGTGGAACAGACGCCTAAAGCCCCGAACCATCCCTCCGCGTCCGCGACGTTTCCGAGGACATCACCTCCCAGCAGGCCCCGCGGCCCCACTCAACATCCGGCCAGAACACGTCTGCGTTTCCTGTGTGAGGGTGAGGCGTGGGCCCGGTTCCCGGGGAGGCTCATCTCCATTGCCCAGCGCTACAGCGACCCGCAACTCCGAGGCTTGGCTGGATGTTGAGAGTTGAGGGAGCAGCCGTTTCGGGTGGGCCCAGGCGAGGAGCTGACAGGAATCGGCGTGGGTCCCGCTCTGGACTACATTTCCCAGAGGGCCTGGTGGCCTGCCACTTTTCTCGCAGGAATTCGAACGTTTCGTCACTCCTGGCGGGACTCTTAGATCTGGGAGGTGAGATATTTTGGTCCCCGGGAGAACTGGCTCAGGTCTGCAAGTTCCCATCCAGGATGACTGGAAAGGGCTTAGTTGAGGATACCGAAGGCTGGTGGGGAGCTGGCGCCTTGGGTCCGTGCGGGCGGAGCTATTTGAAAGGGGGAGGTTGTGTTTGGGAGGCCGAGGCGGGCGGATCACGAGGTCAAGAGATCGAGACCATCCTGGCCAACATGGTGACACCCCATCTCTACTAAAAATAAAAAATTAGCTGGGCGCGCGCCGGTAGTCCCAGCTACCCGGTAGTCCCAGCTACTCGGAGGCTGAGGCAGGAGAGTCACTTGAACCCAGGAGGCGGAGGTTGCAGTGAGCCGAGATCGCGCCACTGCACTCCAGCCTGGCGACAGAGCAAGACTCTGTCCCCACCCCTCCAAAAAAGAGGGGAGGCTGTGGAATTGTCTGGGAGATAATAACACGGCGGCTTATGTGCGGATATGGGATACCTGTCACTGGAGGGGTTGTGGCTGTGTGTACCCGTGGTGATGTGTGATTGTGACTGCGACAGTGTGGGGTGCCTACGATTGTGCCGCTGTAATTGTGTGTTTCCTATGTGATTGTAACTGTGTTGCCGTGTGTGGCTCCGTGTGTGCAGGTGAGACGTGCATGTCGCCTTGATTTAAGTATGACTGCCCCTAACGGTATGTGGCATTCTGTGTATGAGTATGGGGTCCCGTCAACTGTGCGATTGTGACTCCAGAACTCTGTCTCTAGGAAACCTCTCTGAGGTCTGGTGGTCAGATTCGAACCCTGGACAGCAGTGAACACAGCCTTTTCCCTGAGCCACTGGAATTGGACAGGATGCCCCATTCTCCTCTGATCTCCATTCCCCGTGTGTGGTGGGTAATGGGGCCGGAGAAGACCTCTTACTTGACTAATTTGGGTACCAAGAAAAACCTGGTGTCTTACAGTTACTCTTCCCTCTCTCAATTTTACCTTTCTCCAGGTGTCACCCAGAAGAGGAGGAAAGAATGCATGATGAACTTCTACAAGCAGTATCCAAGGTGTGTTGGGGTTTCTTCTTTTTCTTCTGAAAATTCTTGCTTAATAAAGGAATGTCATTTAATTCTAGGTCCCTATAATTTTCCCATCACAGAAAAGGATGGTTGCTCCACTTATGCTTGCTGAATTTTCTTCTTAAATATTTATTATGATTTAAAAATAAAAGGATGCTTAGTTTAGAGATCTCAAAAATACAGCATTACCAGGAAAAAATAAAATTTGACCACTCAGATAACTAGTGTTAATATTTTGATGTATTTTCATTATTTGTCAAGAACCAAATTTTGTTTCATTTGCCATTTGATGTTCTACATTTTTACAAAAAAAGTGTCATAAATATGATCCCACGTCATCAAATGGTCTTGGGAAATATATTTTTCTACGTTTGAAAAAACTATGGTATATACTTTTTTAAAATCAGACATGCCAGACTTTTAAATCCTCATTTGAATATATATCTGTACTTAACACCCCCCTACCCCCACAGGTTTGAATTTGGGTCTCCATCATTAATAATAAAATTGAATATATTCCATATGTTTATTGGTTTTTAGCGTTTCATCTTTTGTGACATGTCAGTTCAAATCTTTACTCATTTTTGTCTTGGAATAGCTCTTATTGATTCATATGAGTTATTTATGTAATCTGAATCTCCGTCCTTTATTGTGTTTTCCTAATACTTGGAAGATTTCATCACTTCCTGTAAGATGATTTTATGATAAGTTCTTTTTTTAAAAAAGCTGAGTTTATCAATATTTTTTCTTTATGGTTAGTGCTTTTTGTATCTTATTTAATAAATCCTTCCCTGTCCCAAGGTCATGTAGATACTCGCCTATATTTATGCTTAAAGCCATAAGTTTCACTCTTTTTTTTTTTTTTTTTTTGAGTCTCGCTCTGTCGCCCAGGCTGGAGTGCAGTGGCCAGATCTCGGCTCACTGCAAGCTCCGCCTCCTGGGTTCACGCCATTCTCCTGCCTCAGCCTCCCAAGTAGCTGGGACTACAGGCGCCCGCCACCTCGCCCGGCTAGTTTTTTTTTTGTATTTTTTAGTAGAGACGGGGTTTCACCGTGTTAGCCAGGATGGTCTCGATCTCCTGACCTCGTGATCCGCCCGTCTCGGCCTCCCAAAGTGCTGGCATTACAGGCTTAAGCCACCGCGCCCGGCCTTTTTTTTTTTTTTTTTTTGAGTCTCGCTCTGTCGCCCAGGCTGGAGTGCAGTGGCCGGATCTCAGCTCACTGCAAGCTCCACCTTGATTCTTTCCAGTACAATTTGTGTTCTTCTCAGAGCAAATTGGCTTGTTTCTTCTTTTGCCTTATTTTATGTATGTGTCGCTATGTTTTTTCAAATTCTCTAACATTGCTGTCAGTTGCCTGTCGATATTTTCTGCATGATCAACCATACTAGCTCCTTAGTTTTCTTTGGAGATGTCTTTCCTATAGTCCTCACTTCTTCTGTTCCTAGATGCTGTTCTCTCAGTCTGCTGCTGGATGGTGTTCTAGGATTTGCCTTTTATAATTATACTGGCACTTTCATCACCATTTTCATGTTAGTTTTCCAGTGTCTTAATATAGTACCTTTTCTTTTTCCTAATTTACTCCCTAGTTTTGATGGAACATGTAGCCCAGTAGCTTCCTAAGAAAAACCACATTGGAAATACTTTTATCATTCCCTGAAGATTTAAAATTATCTTGATTTAATCTTCATAGTGGCTTAGTAATCTGATTGGAGATAGAATTCTATTTCAGAATTTATTTTCCTTTATAGTATTAAAGGAATTGCTTGGTTTTTTTCTTGTTTCAAATGATGCTATTGAGAAGTCTATTGCCATTCTTATTCCTGAAAACTTATGTGATCTGTGTTTTCTTCCTAGAAGCTTTTAGAAACTTTCATTTTTGTTTTGCCCTGATATTCTGAATTTTTACTCCAAGTATTATGAGATGTGTTTGAAAGCCCCTCCCATTTTCCCCTCTCTTGGGGCATAAAGGGAAAGTGGGGAGGGGGAAGAAACTCACTAATTGAACTGAATGCATGCTGTTTCCTGTCACTGGAAAAGTCCAGCCTATTTGTACATCCCTTTGTACACAGGACATATATCTTCTGATATGATAGGATTCACCCCCTTTAATTTTGCTTACTCTGTCCTTTCTTGCCACCTCTACCACCATCTTTTTCTTTTCCCCTTCCATTGTGAAAGCATGTTTGTTGTTTCAGGGGTCATTGATGTTCAGGGATGTGTCCATAGACTTCTCTCAAGAGGAATGGGAATGCCTGGACTCTGGTCAGATGAATTTATACAAAGAAGTAATGTTGGAGAATTTCAGCAACCTGGTTTCAGTGGGTAAGGATAACTATTCCCCAAAATTCAGAGTCTGCCCTTGTAAATGTCTCCTTTCTCCACTGTGAATTATTTGCTTCATGTAACCAGCTGAATTTCTACTCCCTGTTCCCTAAGGAATGGTTTGAGTTGAAATAGAATGGAAGAGTTGGAAGTGGGCAGCTCCAATGGGCTGCAGCTGAAGCTTCATCTTCTCCATCTTTCTCTGGTCCTTCTTGTAGTGTCATCTTTTCTTTGATCACTAAGGGACTCGATCTGATTTCTGGGGAGCCCACAGCATAACCGTGTCCCATGTCTTTTCTTGTGAGCAGGACTTTCCAGTTCTAAGCCAGCTGTGATCTCCTTACTGGAACAAGGAAAAGAGCCCTGGATGGTTGACAGAGAGCTGACTAGAGGCCTGTGTTCAGGTAAGTAAGAGATGATGGCTCAGGAGCAGGGCTATGAAGAGATATACTTCTGAGATGTTATCAGGAAGCTCCCTTTAAAGGCCGGAAGCCTCTTCCATATAAGGTATCCCACTTTTTTTCCTCATACTTTCTCCCTAGTCCAATATAGCAAGTACTTCCCTGGCTATAATTATGCTATAATTATTCTACCCACATGTTAGGTTTCATTCCTTCCTATGATACGCTACGTTTAGAATTGTATAACAGTAGACATTCCTACCCTAAGAAATAGATGTGTGTAAGTGCGTGTGTGTCTCTTTTTCTTTCCCTATAGTTGTTTTCATTTGATCTACTTTCAGCTATTTAACGTCTTTGACCAGTTCATTCTGGATTTAATAACTCATTCTTCCATTTATCAAACATTTGATTATTTCTTACTTTAAAAGAAATTGAAGGATAACATACACACATAAAACTACATGACTATGATTACATAGCATGGTGAAATTGAGAATGGTGAAACCACTACTAGGACAATAAGTGGAACGTTACTAGCACCTCAGAACCCCTTCTCTGCCTCTTCCCAATCATCAGCCTCTTTTTCCTCTCCCAAAATAAATACCATCCTGATATTTAGCACCAGGGATTCGTTTTGCCCATTTCTGAACTTTATATAGATGCAGTCGCACAGTATTTAGTCTTTTGCCTTTGGCTTTTTTTGCTCAACATGTTGTTTATGTGACATATCTATGGTGCTGCATATATCTGGTGTTAGTTCATTCTTATTGGCTATGTTGTATTTCATTCTATGAATATATACATATTTATTTATTTATTTATTTATTTTTGAGATGGAGTCTTCCTCTGTTGCCCAGGCTGGAGTACAGTAGTGTGATCTCGGCTCACTGCAACCTTTGC